CCTCGTGTAAATGCCAGGCAAGAACAAACGCAACATCACTCTGAGGGGTCCGTAGATGGTCTGTTGCTAGGTAAATTGTTGATCCCTATTCAAAATACCCTAACTTTCTAGTGCTTAATTACTTTTCTACCACCACAGTTTCCCATCTTCGCACTTGCGCTATGCGATTGTCTAATTTCTAGCGAGAGATGTCATAGTTAAGGTAACTGTATAAAAGATGTCGCCGAATTTGAGTACGGGAAGACAATAATTCAATAGCTGCACATTTCTGAATATTTGAATAAAATAAAAGATTTTGTTTTAAAAGAGAGTCTTGGTACATGTGTTTACAACTTAGCTATCTAAGTTTATAAAACATATTTTTGTTAAATTTAAAGGATCATATGACTTTTAAAGCAAGATTTCACTAATAGTTCTCAATTTAGTCACCAAAACTAATTTTGAAGATATCCGTGCGGGGGTGAGTTGCGACTGCCCCTACCCCCTTGTGTCCACCAAATATAAAAGCACGAATATAAAAGTTTTTTAAGCGAATACAACCCGCGTTAGATATTACTGCACTTACTTTTGTGCAATTTCATATTATATTTCGGTTAATGTCCGCTAGTACAGTAAATCTATTTTGTTTTATCAGTTTACGTTTCTTTTAAATTTATTTAGTAGTTTTGTATTAATATACCATTGACCGAGTTATGTGATGACCTCTGATAGACGTATATGTATATATATATATATATAGCCTGTTTTATATACTTAGTATATTAAGTTCATATCCGAACAATATAAAGCGTCTATGATTTAAATTATTTTTTATCGATTTATCTGCAATCTTGCTAAATTACAAATAACAATTAATGTCATTTGGATACACTTCCGGGTGATCCAGGTACAATTGAATGTAATTATTTTCACCCAGAAATGAGGAAGATCTGTTTCTGTGGTGCCTTATGCTTTGCTATGCAGGTAGGAGTACATGTGCATTTTTTGCAGGTTCATTTTTTTTTACATGGTATTGAATATGATAGATGGATAAGAAAAATTGTTACTCAGTTAATGTCTCTTCTGGTTTTTTTTCGTTCATCCTTGTCAGTTGTTGTATATAGATACTGTAAAATACCAGCTCCAAGTCACAATATGAAGCTCTTAACGAATTAGCGCAGTGAACGAGTTAAATAAAAGCTATAGTGTGTCTAGCTGTTTACAATATCAACAACATAAATATCTAATAAATTAATCGGATTGTATTTCCCACTAAAGAAACAGTAGTTTTAACTTTTATTGCTTTACTTTCAAACCGAAAGATTACTTGATAAATTCGGGTCAAACCTAATAATGTCGGGTCTGACATTATTATGTGTACGCTTAAGCCGGGATCACATATTCACAATGACAGGAGCATTCCCGATTTGTCAAAAGTCTAATCAAGATCCTGTGAATCGTGGCTGGAAGTTCAAACTTTAATCAAAATGTGTAAAAACATTTATTTAATCACGACAACAATCAGATATTGTTTAGGAAGCGTCCAAATTCAGCCATTTCCAGCCGAATTTGTCCCGATTATCCCGTTCTCAATCCGATTCTAATCCGATTTGGATCTTTCGCATGGTAAAAAACGACCAAATCGGTCCCGACAGCGTCCCAATTCTACCGAATGTGATCCAACAGAGACTACACAGTGACCATGCAGACAGTGAACCGACACTGACGGAAGATATTCGTTAGAAAACTGTCGCCATATTCGGGATGATCAGGTACTGTCGGAACGCAATCCTATCACAGTCTGCTCTGTAATTGTCGGGACTCTGACGTGGGTATCATTGCCGAATTTCGTATAAATAACGGGACTGTTCTGGAACGGTTTCGGCAAAGACGGCTCGCATTCGACAAGATCTGGATGCAATCCGGACTCAATCGGCAAAAAAACACAGCAATAACAAATTTCTCCAGATCATGCCCGTTCCATGGACACCGTCCAGAAAACACAGAACATAGTTACGATTTTGATCCGATACAGCAGAATCTGTCACGACATAGTCACGATTGTAATCCGACTGGACAAAATGGGCTGAGTTTCCCCGAATGTTACGGGACGCACCTAACTGTCGGGGTGCTTGGTCGACCTCTCCGGACCATTCCCGATCCGTAGGAATCTGTTACGAACTATACTACTGCGTCCAGACAATGATAGGACATTCCAGATCATTGAGGATAGTAATCCGACTTTTTCACTTTTCGTGTCTTAGTGCTGTCTGATCTCAAACGGGAGCCATAATCGGCACTGCGTCAACGCCACATTAGGGTTTTGTTTTTTACAGAATGAGATAACAAGGACATCATTGTAGGAGTGAGATGCTACATGACTATCCTTAAAAAACAGCCGGCTGTCTAACAGTTAACTGAGTTTCGAAGACATATTCCTCTTTTGCAATTTTATCTCTACTCGAATTTATACCTCTCACTGTCTTTATTTCCCGTATTTTTCCTTTAATTCTTATGAAAGTAAAGTTTCCTCTTTGGATATCTTTCCGCTTGCTTTTTAAAATATATCGTTTTTATTAATATGAAACTTTTTCAAGTTATTTCACAAAAACAATTTTCTATCTCGAAAGTTGTTTTAATTGGACAAGTAAAGAAATTCCTCCCAAACCTTTTCATATTACGTTCTATTGTTTCGTGTTGTCATCATCACAATTAAGACAGATTGAAATGATTTAAGATATTTTGTTTTTTTAATTTTCTTTTAAATTAATAATAAACCATGTTATATAAAAAGGGTATATATTACCAAATACTGAACTGTCATTGGAGGTTGTTTTGAAAGAGTTCAACTACCTGCTTTTATCTACTTGACCATCTAAAGTGTTATTGACAACAATTCATTTTAGAAAATAAAACATTTTTAAATATCTTTTGTTACTTTTTATCACTGTTTTCCATTATCATTTAGGCAAACAACCTTAAGTAGTTAAGATGAAAAACAATGTTGACAAAAAAAGTATCGCCGTTAAGACTCTTTCATTGGGGTTTCCCAATTCATAAATTCAAAATTGACTTTTTGGGTGCTGCAACCAGACCCTCTGGAATAACTTCTAATGTAGGAAGTCTCAGTCTCAGTTTCTGTTCTCATTCGTATGGACCCTGGATATTTTCTGCCAATTGAAAGTAACACTACATAACTTGAAATAGCTGAACCATGTTACAAATGGATTGTCATATTTTGGGGATTTCAATGAATTTGTTCTTTAAAAATCATGGCTTTAAAAAGGTATGCAATGAATTACTAGTAGTCTATATATTGTGAAAAGGTTTAATTATGGTTGATAGAGGTTTGTATAAAACTTAGGCTAAGGTTAAATATTATTGTTTTTTACTGGATAAATTATTTACATTCAGTATCTTTAAGTATTTTTGTGATACACGCAAGGTCAAAGAGCTGTACATTTGCAATCTACATATACTGAATTTTCCAATTAAAGAATCAACCCCGCTTTTTAGTGTTGACACATATAATGGATGTGCATCATTGCAGTTGGTCCATCAATAGAGAGATTCACGTGTAATCCACCATTTGTCGTCTACTGAGATGAACTAATTAAGTTTTGTGGGGGTTTTTTTTGACCTCATGAGCTGAATTTTGTGAATAACTGGATTATACCTTAACTGAGGTACATTTTGTCAGTTCGGGACCTTTAATAGCTCACTTTACGGTTTGGGATTTGCTCATTGTTGAAGGCCGAACAGTCACCTATTATAACTGTTGATTATAAATTTTCATCATGATTATTTTTTGAATTCCAAATAATTTATATATCTGGTGTCTACATCATAAAAATCCTGGCATTCAGGCGTGTTTAATATATTTTCTATAAATTCCATATATTTCAGCAAATTTTTAGATATATGTGGATGATGATGAAAATGATACAAAATAATTTATTTACAAAAATGATTGATCTTTACCTCATTCTGAACTGTGCTTTAGATTGGCTATTTATATTCATTGTGTTGTTTATATTGTCTAATCGATGGGGCTTCAAGGAAGGAAATACCAACACTTGTCAAAAATCATTGTTTTATAATAGTAAACAATTTTCCCTATTTTAATGATATTTCAATGATTCAAAATGTTATAAATTTCTTCTCGGCTGTACCATTTAACACTGCACTTTACTAACCAATGAATTTAAGGGTTTTATAAGGAAAGTAACCATGGCATTGGAATTATGATGACAAAAACTCTCTATAATGATTGGAAAATAATTAGAAGAAAAAAATTCATTTTACCAGAAACAGCTTCAGTAAAAGAAAAAATACCCTTCAAATGCGTTCTCAAATAAATACAATAAAAAAGAAATCATAACAGCTGAACACTAACTTGCTGTAAAATGTGAATCGTAAATCAATAAATATAATGAGTGCACCGAAAACGAGATGCTCAAGTCTAACAACAGAAACAAATCCAATCTATTATTCATTAGTCCAAATATAGTATATCAAAGTGCATTTTACCTTTTAGGTCTCATTAAACTCGTATGCTGTGCGGCCTTTCTTACCGAAAATACTACAGCCACTACATGTCTTAATGGAAGAAAGCCGTGGATAAAACCTTGCGGTTATAATTCAAATTCTAACTTGAACCCAGTCAGCACACCTAACAATGAAGGATGGTTAGTGGACATAGTAACACGATCAGAAGAATTACGTACAATGTTTTTGAAAATGAAATCCGATTACGTAAGTACTTTCGTGAGATTGTTTAAGTTATTAACAATAGCCTAGCTATGTCATTTAGTTCAGCACAGAGGAGACGAATGAATGTACTTTTTCGGGTATCTCGCCCTAGAAAAAAAACTCAGGAAAATAACCTTTCCTCAATTTAATAATCTTTGACATTATCTTTTGATGAACGCCAAGTGAACCGAGGGAAAATAATCTTTTTTAGATTTTATATTGATTTAATGAAGGTCATATATCATTGAATTTTCTTAATTGTCTTTCAGATAGAACATCCCACAATAGTGAGGTATATTCAACGCTGTTGGAATTTAGATACAGACTTTTTTCATTTAGAAGGTTTCCCCGTTGCTGATGCTGCAAAACTTGCAGTATGGCCATTGAAACTAAATGTAAGTTCTATAATTCGTTTCACAACCGTAAACGTTCTTATGCAATTACAAAACAGGGAGAGCAAATATGAAAGTGCTCTTTATAACCGGAATTTACACACAATACACTTCTATTAAAAGAATTGGTTTGTGAAAATTTACACAAATAACCATACCATTGTAAGCCCTTAAGTTGACCTTCGATAGGCACTTTTTATTTTGCTTTTCAATTTGGTAAAATGTTGTATACTTACAAAACCATAACATGTTAGTATATCACAGCTCATTTTGTATAAAGCATAGGTTAAACATTCAACATTTGTGCTTCGCTCGAACAGGTTGTCAAACCCTGCATGATCAGCCTAGAACTGTGCTCGAGGAATTGTACATGGAAAAAAAAAACAGATGTTTTGTGAGATGTTCTGCACGACATTTACATACTGTATCAGTAGCATAATATAAACGTGATGATAAGGAAGTCTAATTATCTGTCAAAATTAAATAAGAAATGGCTAGTAACCGCTACTATTAAATAATTAGCAAAATGGCGAAACTGATTGTTGATTATCAATTGCTGAACGTCTAGTGACAAATAGTGTCTTTGTGTGCTTTGTCGTTAACTCTAAGCCTATCCCTTTATTACCACTATGGTGCTTCGTATTTTGTTTTATATTGTGTGGACTTATGTTTGCGACTTGTGTCTGCCATTCTGTCGTCTTTTCTCTTGCTATAACTCCTCAGTTGAACATTTAATATTCCCTGTCTTAATTTAACATTTTTATTTAATATATATCAACAAGTTTAAACGGTTATCCGATTGCATGAATGCTTTGTGTCTGCTTAAGGTCAGCAGCAAAAATGTGCTTGCATGTTTGAGACATGATTATAAGATATAAGTTGACCCTGCTTTTTCTGGACTAGCACAATAAGTCGACAATTTGATCATGCTTGCTTACATGGTATCAGTACTCCGCAGGAAAACTTTTAATCCTTAGACCAAATATTATGATTACAAGACGAGTTTTCCTTGTTCTTGTTACTAATTCAAAAAAAGACATGCAATGTGTCTTTGGTTCAAACAAGTCGGAAATTGAACCCGCTCTCTTCGCAGGCTACTGCCATGTAGTACCAAAAGTCCACTGAGATGGTACTCATATATATATATATATGACATTTTTTGTAATGAAAATGAATATATATAGTAAAGTGGTTGCATACTTTATAAACTGTTTACTTGATTATTTTTATTTATTTATTTATAGGAAACCATTGAAGCTATTGACGACTATGAGAAACTTTCGACAGTTTTAGTATTTGTTGAAGCAATGATATGGGATGATTATATAATTCCGAATGGAAACGATAGGGTTAATTTGTGTAATATCATTAGTAAAGCTAGAGACATTCTTTGTATACTAAAAATAGAAATTAATGATAACGAACTTTTAGGAATTCCAGAACGAAATGTCATGAAAACTGAATACAGACAAGGAGATAGAACTCACAAACTTGGCAGAAATTACTTAATATTTAAGGATTCCATCCGATATTTACAGTATATGGTGGACAAATATATTAGATTTATTTTTTCATGAAATCTTTACAGATGATATTTGAAATTGCAATTGTTTTTTGTAGTTCTATTATGTGTTATATAGCTGCCTCTTACACAGCTGTGGTATTTGTAGTTTTATGATTTTATTTTTCTATTTATTTATTCTAAAATTATTCAGGTTTTATGTGCATTCCGTCACATATTTGTTCAGGTTAATGTAACTTACATTGGCATTAAGTCATTACTTAAATGCGGTCATTCACAAATATTTGGATTTTAGATAAGTTTTTTTTTAAATTCTACATTCCAGAGTGTTTAACTTACCTCAACTTACCTCAACTTACCATGACTTTATTCGATTTATCAACATATATTTACATCGAATCAACTTTTTTTAAACTGGGACCACACAAGAAAAAGCAATACTTTTACCCTTGTTACAAGTTATTTTTACTGTAAGAGAGGATAACCTGAAAGTTTATGTAATCTGAAATCGATCAATTAGTTTTACATATTATCAGAAAGAGTCAAATAATGACAAGATAATTATTGAAATAGCTTTTTGACCTTAAACAGGGATTTGGAACCTAGAACACATTTTTTATGTTGTTTAATGTCTTTATTACTTGATATCATGTTTTGAGTTTTATTTTTTACTGACTATATATTGTTATCCAATAAAAATAGCAATGTTGTAGTTAATGTTTGTAGCCTTTTTATGCATTTAAAGGAACTAATTCTGCTATGGATTACTGGACGTGAAGCAAGCAACAATGAATCAATCTGCAATGGACCTCTAACATCTGTCAATTTCACAAGACATCAAGCCTTGCTAGTTGAACTAACATTTAAAAAAAGTCAGAAGACACCATGGTGACAATAAACATTGTAAGACGAGGAAACGCTGTGGCCAAAAGATAATAAAAGATGAAAACGAGAAAAATCAACCTCTAAATTACCACACAGAAAACTAAAATGTGACCAAAGGGACTCACTTAAAATCTAGGGTGAACTATAATAGTACTTCGGAAGAGTAAGAAGTTCCTGATCCAGTACTCGTTCCAGTCGTGTACGTTGGTCATGACAGTTACCAATAATTGTAACTATGGTGCCGGTTTCAATATGCGCAGGCATGTGTCTGAAATAGAGGAGAGATGTCTCATTAGCAATCATACATCAAGTACGCTGAAAAATGACCATTAGTTTTTTAAGCCAAAAACAATACACTTGGACCAAAATGGCCTAAGTGAGTTACAATATAAGTTGTAATACACTTTCAAGACTGTTTGCGGGAGGAGCTTTTATTTTTATTTTTATCAAGATATATATAAATTAATGACAGTCAATCAGCAATATCAGCAATCTAGTGTTGATATTAAATGCAGTGTGCATAATAAGAGTTTTTGATATAACTCTTATTATGTTAGCTTGAATTCAACGCGTTTTTGGTGTGTTAAGTACGAGGGGAAAAACAACGACAATTATTGCCAGGAAAGGTCAGCTTTTCATGCAAGACTTTTTTTTATTTCTTTCGAATTATATAGATACTAAAAATTTCAATAATTATTTAATGCTAAAATATAATTTAAACAATGACAGAAGTAAAGTAAAGCACTTGCTGTTGTTCGTCTGCTGCCATATCAACAAAATGATATTAGAATGCAGTTTCACATCAAGTTAGTTCCACATTAAAAATATATCAGCTGATCTTTGACCTTCAAGCAAATGTCAAGATGAAGAATAACAATACATGTACTGTTCCTCTGATATATCTATTATTTCCCAGTATTTCATAAGATCTTTTTATCGTATACATCCATCCCATATCCTTTTTTTACAATACAATAACTAGTTTCATACCAGTTAAAATACATTTGAAATTAGAAAAGCTTTATTCAGTTTCTAGTCAGTACTGTAATTATGTACATAATTTAATTTTGGCCCAATTGATTGTTGTTCATGACGTTGCTATATAACATTTATTTGGAAGTACAGGTACATGTACAATTGCCGAAATTTATAGTGTGCGAAGGTAATATTCATGCTCACTAAAATAAACAGCACTTTTAATGTATCTGAAGCGCTTTTCTGAAGTTACTTTCATCAGGAACGCTCAAAGCCGAATATTTAAAGGTCAAGGATGTATAAGAACCGAAACAGTTTTCAACTTTTTCTCAGCGGTTGCGAAGCACTTTTTCTAACTCAATTTTGTTTTGAATCAAGATGACACAGTCACTATAGTATAGTAAATAGCCTTTTGATGTTCTAAGACAATGTCATAAAACTATGACAATGAAATTTACACTGCACGTCAAATTTTGTACAACAGAAAAGCTGATTGGACATTAGTAATGGAACGCCACAGCTGTCTTATGTGGAACTCTGATATTACGTTATGTTGTTTTATTATTACTTGATGATATTTTGTCTTTACATAATATGGTTTTGACATTACGTAATGATGTTTTGATATAACTCAATATGGAATAGTCATTACTTAATCGGATATTTCGATATTACACGATATGGTTTCGTATATTGACTTGATATAGTTTTGTCATTACTTAATATGGTTTTGTCATTACTCGATGTGGTTTCACTATTATTTAATGTGGTTGTGTCATTAGGCAATGTGGTTTTAACATTACTTGATGAGTATGTGACTTAGGGTAATGTAGTTGTTTCATTACATGATGTGGTTTTGTTATTTCGTAATGATGATTTGCCAATTCTTTATATGGCTTTAACATTACGTAATGATGTTTCAAAATTTGACGATTTTACACTACATGATGTGTTTGTTTCAGTTTGATGTGGTCCTGTCATTCTTTGATGTGGTTATCACATTACTTGATGAGGTAAAACCACGTGACCATTCAGTCGGAAAAAAATATGTTCGATTTTTAAACCGATTCCCATATGTCGTTTGTTTAATGTGTTTTGGATGAGTATCGCTATCCATTGAGTTAAAGTTCAAATTAAACTTCGAGATGTTGTTCAGAGTTATTTGGTATGAAAAAGGGGAACAGCAGACAAAAATAAGAAAAAGGTACTAAAAATTAACAGTATTTCGGACATATGGGGGATATCCCCAAACCACTTGGTCCAGCCGTTTTTTTTCCTTAGTTCTCAAATGGAAGCAGTATTATAATAAATTCGTAAAAGATTCCACGGAACCCTGTGTCTCGCCTGATATTGCTGCTGTCAGTGCAAAAGCGTAATGTTGACTGTACATTTATCGGTAAAAACAAAATTTAAAAAAAAATGTTTTTCTGTAGATGCTTTATCTTGATCTTAAAGAATAACTTCTATACAAGTTTTATAACAATTCATGGAGGTTTACAAATTTATCATGTCGAAACAGTTTAATTCGGTAATATTTAATGCAAAAAAAAAAACCTTATATAAAAATAAGAAAATGTGGTATGATTGCCGATGAGACAACTCTCAACCACATACCAATTGATGTAGAAGTGAACAACTATGTGTGACTGTATGGTCTTCAACAATGAGCAAAACCCATACCACATAGTAAGCTATAAAAGGTCCCAAAATGAAAAATGTAAAAACAATTCAAACGAGAAACCTAACGATCTGAATGATGAAGACGCCGACGCCACTACCGACGACGGAATATAAGTTTGTTGTGTCTCACTGTCGCTACATTAATGTCGCAGGCTCGACACAAATCAAAAGAGTTGTACTTTATTGTCAACAAATGAGACACTTTAAATCAACTTACACTAAAGTTGCAGGGAAATGGGGGAATCGGACTAAGCGACAAAGCATCAATTCTATAAAATAAGAATTCTCCGAATTTTTTTTAGCGTGTATGATCATTTGAACATATACGAATATCAATCTTTTATTTTTATAAATTGCATTCTCTGATATACTTCGCACTATTTGAAAAAAGCTTTTTGGAATATCGGTTTCACAGGTGACGACGGATATTTTCCAGTTGTCGTAACCAAAATCCCGTCATCTTTTCCTCGAATGTGAACTACCAAATAAAACCAAATCACTGGGTTTGTACTTTCACGAATAACACGACGGGTGCCACACGTTGAGCAGAATCTGCTTACCCTTCCGGAGCACCCGAGATCACCCCCGATGGATTTATATTACCGATCTTTTGAGTTAAGCCAATTGAAACTGTTTTTCACATTTTTTTCTTATCATATAGATGATGCTGTCATCAGCAAATAACCTTATATTTGTTTATTCTGTGTCATTTGGTCTCTTGTGGAGAGTTGTCTCATTGGCAATCATACCACATCTTCTTTTTTATATTAAGGTGCTATGTTGTAAGTATTCCAGGAAATCATTAATATATATGAGGAATAAAATTCGGCCAAGGACGGCGCCCAAAGGCACTACAGATGTTACCCCCATTTTTTCTGATTGTTCTCCATCTTGTATGACTGTACATCCCAACAAAAAAAAAACCACGGAGTACAGATCTGAGAGTACTTCCTATTTATATATATATAATATGATAAATATCAAATCCAAATATGGACCTTAATATCATGCTCAATAGCAGCCTTCGACATCGTCAAACAGCTGTGTAATCTGTATTCAAAATATAACTATGCTTAGTACCTGTAATAAAGGCTGTATTTGGGGTTTTTTCCTTTCATTATTTCACTCTGTATATACATTTTCTTTTAAAGATATAACAGCATTCAAAACAAAGAGGACACATCTTGGAACTGCTGGAGCACCAAAATTGGATATATCAAAGGATCAATTGGTATTCCTAGCGAAGTACAAATTTACAGCTCCATTAATGGCAGAAACACTTCAAATATCAGAATCCACTATTCGCAGGAGACTCAGGTTTGCATATTTAACCCATCATGAATTTTGTTAAACAAAGTTGTTGTCTTGTGATAATGTGCATTTATTATAAATCCTATCCTTTGTGTTAAACATCTTTAAAAAATATTAAAAAAAAAATCACTTCATATATAAAAGAATTATTATGGCCACACAAATAAGAAACCTGATTGAATTTGTGTTCGCTTCAGTTGACCAAAAGAGGATATGAAATATGTAACTCATGAAATAATGCAGTCGCAAGGAACCACTTGGACTCGGTCTTTCATAGAAGGAATACTGCTGTTTAGTCATGACATTCAGGGTGAAGGAGGAAATTATTCATTGGAGAGGTTAATTATTCATTAAATTATTCATTATTCAACTGTGAGGTCAATTTAAACCAAAGTGACATAAATTTTTACATAATTAAGTTTAAATTGTACATTCATTTGATCTTTAAAATTATTTTCAGAGAGTTTAACATAAAGTTAAGGGAAGGAAAGGAAACTATTATCTCAAACGAGGAATTGGATGATAAAGTCAAGAACATAATTGGAACCAATAAAAGAATAGGTCCAAACTCAATACGGATTCGTCTTGCCATGGACAATACTGATATTTCACGCCAACGTGTCAGAGATGCTTGCCACAGAGTTGATCCAAGTGTTGGCTGTGCTTTGAGATCAATTGAAAGACAAAATGTTCATAGGAGGACATATAAAGTTGCTGGACCAAATTCATTGTGGCATATAGATGGGAACCACAAACTTATAAGGTATATTAAACTAGAGGCTAAGCCTGTGTCACTCATCTTAGTCTATAAGCATATTCAACAAAGGACACTCTCTGACATTGTAGACAAGCACAGAATTC